CACATATTCCTAAATATGTTTATGCATTATAACAGAATACTTGAATACCCAACCAACCATTCGATAGGCTTTTCGACGCGTCGATTTAGGCTTCCGATGGGCATCGGAATTCCAAATCGACCCCTGGGTTTGCCATTTTCCGATGGGTCGAGGGCTCCGCGATGGGTTGCTTTTCCAAGTATTTTGCAGTTTATATGATCTTCTATCTCGAGGGCTCGAAATATTAATTCCGATTGGTACTTGAAGACCACACTATCGATGATTTTCGATCCCTTTTTTGTCTTTGCTTCGATTGGTTTCGATAAGCTATTCCGGTACCCATCGAATGACCTTTCTCGATAGGTTCTAAGTGAAACGAAAGTTGCAAAATATCGAGTGGTCGATGTTTCGCAGGGCTCCGAGCGGTCGAAATTTCGACCACTCGAAATTTTCGATAATTTTCAAAAAATTTTCGCCACCACTTATTTTCGAGCACTCGACACTGATTGAATAACAGTAAATTCGAACATATATACTTACGAATACCAGAGCCCTCGAGACCTATCGGAAATAAATGCAGAACGGTAGATTCGAACAAATGTACTTACGATTATGAAGCTTGCATTAACCAGATGATCTAAATATGACATTCTCAGCCTGAATAAATCTACGTTTCGTCATGAAATATATAGAACTTTGATGCAATTTTTTTCGTGTATGATCTAAACTAATTTTTTTTCGAAAAAAACGGGAGAGGAAATTGCTACTATTAATAAAAAAATATTTCATATATAATCTTGACTATTTTTAAAGAAAAATTTTTTTTCAATATATGATATTGAATAATTTTTTTTTCGAAAAAAAATAGGAAGAGACTAATACTATTAATGAAAAAAAAATTAATATATAATCTTGGCTATTTTTTTCGAAAAAAATTGAGAGAAATTTGTTACTATTAATGGTTGAAAAACTAATTCCAGTTATTATAAGTTTTCTTGTGTGAACTAGAAGTTTTATGAGCAAATATAAAATACTTTATTATCTATTACAGTTGAAAAAAAACGAAGACATGTTAGAAAAAAATATGACAACTCTCACTCAACTGCTCTCTTTAAGATTTGAATATTCGATTATTTCAATAGGTTCTTCATTATTAAGAAATCTGAAAGAATATTTCTGCAAAATATGCGATGACGATCTAAGAATAAGACACGAAGAACGTTTTCGAATGTAAATATTCGGAATTGTTGAGAATGTTGTATTATTCGTTTTAAATTGTAATAAGTGATGTCTTGCGAGTTCATCAATCAGATCTTCCAATAAAATAAATATTTTTCCATTATCGTTTGGATCGCTTACAATCGCTCTAATAAGCCCTAATTTAATTTGTCGTCCAAATACAAATGAAACACAACAATCGGCGAATTTGCGAGATTTTGTGGATGATAAAGTATCCCAGGCGAGCAAAGGACGGGTAAAAAGACTAGTCTCATATCTAGTCCTGACGGGACGTCCTGTATAGTCTTTTTCTCAAATCGGACTATACCATGACTAGTCTGGAAAAAGTTGTCGTCCATAATACCCGTCCAGACTATGTTACTGATGGGCGTCATTGGCTCTGACATGTCTAGTCTGTTTCACTAAAAAGACCTGTTTAGGACTAGTAAGAATCACTAATAGGTGGACTAGTCCTGTAGGAGGACTTTTTGAGAAAAAGATTAGTCAGGACGGGTAACAGCGACACCACATAGAACAAGTTGTAGTCTTGTGTAGTGGACGAGTTCGGACTAGTCTAAATGAAAATGTATAAAGATGAAAGTTAGATTCGAACATGCATACAATGTATTACTTACCCATCGTTTAGACCATTGAGTCATATGATCAGCAGATCAATTCTACACATACATAATCATTCTAAGATGCTATTTAATATAATTTTATTCCACGTTTTTGATGTTCGCATTTAAATAAAAAATTATCGCTTACAAAATAGGTCATTAATTAAACAACACTAGATAAAACAAAGTCAAAAAAATTTATATTTTTTGGATAAATATTTTTTATTACTATTAAGTAGGAATAATTAGTTATGTTAAAAAAA